ATGTCTTATGTGGACAATGCCGCAATTTGAGCTTTCAGGGTTGATAAATTCACTCGCAATTTGCTATAAAGTCAAGCCCATTAAGAACACTACAGGTGTTGAATAAGTGTTTGGGTCCAATGGACTCATTTACTCACTGCTTTTGTTCTTCCAGAGAAGTATAAGGATAAAGGTCTCAGCGTAGATCACTTCCATGTGGACGCGCCATGCATTCGACAACATCAAGCATCGTTAGAGGTGATTTAATTCAAATCTGGCCTACAAAATGCCTCGCGGCAGCATATGGATATATCGGGACAGTGCTGCTATGTTCTCAGACAAATGGTACCATACTTTGCCGAACCCGAAGAGATGGATGGCTTGGTGAACCTGGGGCGCGGGGTCGAAAGTTGGCGCACTGCAAGGCGCCTCTAACTACTGCACTACACGCGTTCTAGTTCCAGAGAATATTAGTGTCAGTCTGCCAACATTGGAGAGATGTTGGGCGTATTCTGTGTGGCGGCCGAGATCGAACCAATGACTAAGTGTGTTGCAGGTCAACCTTAACCAGTGTGCTACATTTATCCAGTTAGAGCAGTTAAATTTAACAAAACCATCCAGCAGCTTCTAATCACGTGAAATGGATTGGTTTAAGATCGTTAGATATGTTTACAGGTCTAATTAGGTGGCTAGCATCCAGAGGTTTGATGCACATTCATCGTGCGACTATAAAGGAGAGACACTATCAGATCTTCAAGAGTTTTTCGTTCTATCATAACGAAAAAAACCATTGCACCATAAAACATTGTATTGTATTTATGCTGTGGATTAAACACAAAAAAATGTGCGAACTACTACCACTGTAGAACTGTTTAATTTTTCTATCTAAACACTTGAATACTTCTATGCCTCCCCTTCACAAACCTCAAGGAATCCATTTAACCGATAAATTTTTGACTGCGCAAGCACTGCTTTTCTTAATTTCACAAGCCGTCACCACATTTCATGTAGTAACTAATTATTATCGATATGACAGTGATTCTTGACATTGGTTCACTTCCAACTGGGCTTTTGGATAGAATCATGATTCTCTGAGGCTTTTGATGACGCCGCTGTAACAAGGATCACCCGTTGTTTACCACTCTTCAGGACAGAGAACACCGCAGCCGTGAACCGATGGTAAGCCGCTGAACGTTATTTAGTGAATTCTTAAAGTTCTCATACAATCCTTACGGCTTTCCCATTTGTATAAGCACAAGATTCCTGCTTCCATGATTTCGATGGCTCACCACGAGCATATATGCTGTGTATCTCATATGTCATCAACCACTGTGTAATTTAACGCAATGTTAAAAACCAGACATATTATGCTCGTCTTACATTTGTGACTAATTTTTATTTATTCATCTGGAATATGACGTCATACGACCAAGCGGGAAAATCGCTACCGTTGCAAGGCCTCAACTTTTTTCAACTATTCTTCGTCATCTGAAAGAAAATCTCAATTTTGATGTGAATTAAAACACAAAGGCTACATAGATAAGGCTCTCGACGATGACTAGCAATCCCTAAGGAATTCATTATGCATTCGACTCAATTTGTCTTCGATATGTTCACTTGCTTACGGATCTTATCAGCTTGTTAAATCAGTGTTTTTTTTACCTTCTCACAGTAGTCCGGTGCTAAGTTGCAGGGGCCGAAGGGATGGTAAGATTTCTTAGTCCGGCACGCAGGATCGAACCAGAGACCGTTCGTGTACCGTGGGACGTCTTTAACCACTACGTTTCACGAAACTCATAGAGGAAAACAATTTCATTATTCATTTCTAGTGAAACTGTGAAAGTGTAAGACATTGGAAATACAACGAGATTACCTAACACTTAAATTTCCAATTTCTGACACTAATTTTTTCACGTATTCAAACAGCCTTAAGCACTTAATAGTCAATTGTCGTGTTCTATTTCTTTGCATTGTCTTCCTTATGTCCTCACATATGTCATTAGCTAAGCCGCTTCGTTGAATTCCTCTACAAATCGCTTATTTTCCAATACCATAGTTGACATGCGGTAAATAAACAGTCCATTTTATTCTTGTAAACATTTCTACAGAAATAGATCTGAATGGTATAAAAAGACAAGCGTTCGTAAACTATGTAACCAATGATTGCCGAATTATCACTGACGTGTTGATCTTATCAGTAGCCATCTGCGAATATAAAAACAAACAAGAAAACAGAGAGTGAAACATGATTTGTACCAAAGTACAATCATACTTAATGTACAGAATTGGATCTAATTGGATTAATTTTATAGCGCTTTGCACTATAGTATTTTTTAAACAGGAAAGTAAAACACGATAGCCCAGAAGGGAATCACCGACGAATAATTCCGCTGATTATTCACTTGAGCGTAGAAAGAACAGTGCTTTGAGATGCCGTTCCCTACAATCATTATGCGTGCTTGAACCGTGTAACACTATAACGAAGTTCTACGCCTAGTCTCTCCTCGATTAGGAAATTGGTACCAGGCTTGCCCGGAAGAAGTTCACCCTGATCCATAAAAGTAGCCAACAACCTCTGCGGAATGACGAAGACCCGAGAGTGCTCTAGCAGGTCTATCTAGTGATTTCACAGACAACCAATTCCACCAACATTCAACAACATTCACAAAGAAGATCAAAGTCCTCAAGCTTAAGCCGAAGCCACACTCAAATCCGAAGACCTTCTTTGATGACGAATACGAGGCAACTTACTAATCGAATGAAAGGAATGCCAGGATTCGCATAATACGTGAAGTTTGCTTGCATAAACAAATAAACTATTATTTAAATGATTGGTTAAGAAATCAAATTAATCGTTGCAAATATATTAGAGTAAACAAATGCACCAATGTACTGGTCGTTGGGTTTTTAGTCATAAGGGTCAAACAGTGCTCAGATTAGTGGTGAACATCCAAAACTGGAACAATTCGATTTTTATCGCTCACGACACTACAATGCTCATATGACGAAAAGAAGTGTCTTTTATCGCATCACCTTATCAAACAAGCAATGTCTGCTTTTTTGCTTTGTATTTTCTTCTTTCAACTTGCTTAGTAATGCTATGCGTTATTCTCACCAAGGGTTACTGTATTTTGAAATAACTGGATGCCGGACAAGTATTTTTCTTTTCTGCCTTTGTCTCCTCTTTTTTCACGTTATTTCATCACCAACGCCATTCTTGGCTGCCAGTTTTGGTTTCTTCACTACTCTGAGACTTTTCCTCTCACCACTCTTCTTTTTGAGCTTGTTAGTTAGTGACTGTCTATGATTTACGTCATCACTATATAACACCACTTTTATAAATCACGATTTTAATAGCTCATTTTCGTTTAACGTTGGTATAAATAGGAAATAATTTCTTGTAATCATTGGATTACACGACGTTAATACTGGCTCTATCTGAGTCGATTGTCTACAGCGGTTCGTTCTTATGGTGCTGGTCTCCAGAGCATCATCGTGTGCAGTCCACTGCTGTGGATCAAGGCCTGTACTAGGTAACCTCCCCCCTACTGTTTTTATATGGCGGGTTTCGATGGATAGTCCAGTGATAATTCGTTCTCATGAGAGCAATACATTCTGCAGCAGTCAGTCTTCTGTCAACTGATACGTAAAGAAAGCGAACTTCCAAACCTTATCGTTTAGGGTTTCCAGTGTTTATACCGAAGAACACACAGTTTCCGTGAAAATATTCCACTTTTTCCCTTTTCTTTCTTTAACCATAAACCAGAGTTGGAAAAAAGGATGAAGACTTTCACGCACTTTTTTAATATTCAGATCGACTTAAGCATATAAGTTCCAATTTTTTATGGTTGCGTTCTCCTTTTGGCTAAGAATGAACTTGTTAGACAGCAATGTGAATGGTACAATTTCAAATTTGGCCACGGCAGTGTTTATAGCTCATATCCTCTCAGATGTTTCTATTCTTCCTCATTAAGGAGTATTTCGCGTCTTCTTTGCCGATATTAAGAATCATGCATATTCCTCAGAGACTTAGTTATCAAAACAGTGGTAGGCAATTTTTCTTAGAATTCCTAGTGCAAATCATGTGGCTAAAAAGCTATCATAGAGTTTGGCACGGTGGTTGATCGGAACAACGATTGGCGTGTTCGGTTAGGACGTTAGAGCCCATTTAGATCTCACAACACACAGGTAACACACTCAGACACACACACACACACACTCACACACACACACACACACACACGCACAGAGAAATAGACACGTGCACACACATGCATACGTATATACATGCAAATGAGACAGCGCGAATGTATAGAATTGTGAGGATTCCGATGGAATTAGGTTATCATATGGTGTCACAGTACAAATATCCATCCACAATACAGTAACCACTTTTCGTTAACTTTCATATCAACGCGTAATCTAGCCCAGATGAAATTCACCCTCTGAGGCATGAATTAATAGATGCGATATCTTGAAACCTCATAAAAAAGCAACGCAGCATGATTATTCCAAGTTGATGTTTGATGAGTAGAAACGGAGAGCATTTGCGGAACGTGGTCTTCGTAGACCAGGAAACTGTAGATTGTTTTGGTAGAAAGGCAGCACTTTGTATTGTGTGACAGAATCAGATTATCCACTTTAGCGCACAAGTAGTCATTCGTCTTGCAGACATATTCGTACGAATTCCAATTTTTCACGATCGATGGGTGTGTTAGGAAATTGTCCGGCTTCAAGATGTTCAGTGTACTTCAGTTGGAGGAAATAGTGCGGAAGCTGTGATCGGAAGCAGCACTTTATAGGATGACATTCCGAAGGCTCATTTGATGATGACGAGAGTGGATGATGAAAAGCAAGCAGCAAGGAAAAGGTGTCCCTAATCCGTGACAGCGGCCTCACCACTTGCTGATCGATGCTTCGGCCGGGGTAGGGTAGGGGCGGTGCAAGGGCTGGGGCGGCGGTCCGTGAGAAGGGGACGCGCGCAACCAGCAGACTGGGGCGGAGCTTCACGTGTTCATTCAATGGGTGAACTGGAGACCGAAAGTGACGCACTGGAGCATTTCGTCGCTTCAGGAAGAGCAGGACGACGTAACGCTCTCCCAGAAATAGAGGTGAGAACTTTAAGACACTCTACATATCCATTTCATTCGAGCTTCACTTTTCATTTTTTTAATGGAAGGTCACAGGCTACATGCAGCTAGAAATTCATGCTGCCATGTAAGGATACGGTTCGATATTAAGACATGATTGACAACGATAAGCCGCTATGGACCTGCATGATAGCGATTACAAATGTCGTCCTTGTTCCATTGAAAATAACTCTGCGTGTTGATAAGTGTTGACGCTCAACTGAACGCAGTACAAGTCGTGCTTAAGGCGTCATCAACCTATATGGGTAGTTAATGAGCAATTCCTTCTATTAAGCCTGTGGCTCTATTACTTGCTGAGATCGGCTGATGTTCTCGACTGGTAATTTAGTAATCATGCGTTTAATGTCTCCAATCATAGTTTGTTGACGTTAAGAATGTCCAGGCAGCCAACGAAACTTGTTTCGTTAGATTGATGACGAACGTTGACATTACAACCACTACAGTGTCACTCTATCATCTTATTTTGTAACATGCATGTTTATATATGTAAGTGCCATATTGGGTACCGTTATATACATACGTATTCATTTGTATGAGATGTATGATGTATGGATATATCTATGCATGCATGTATGCGTGTGAATGTATGCATCTTATCTGTGGTCTGTGTATGTGTGTATGCATATATATATATATATATATATATGCATGCAAGTGTGCATGTATATGTCTATGAATGCAACTTTGTGTGTATGCACATTTGCATATGTATACATGTTTGTGTTTGCATCTATATATGTAATGTCACTGTGTGTGTATCTGTATGTGTTAATGTGTGTATATGTGTACTTTTTTCAATTAATACGTGTGCACCTGCCGATGTTAGTTGTTACAACATGTGTTTCTTTTCAGGCATTCATACCTTTCCATTTTCTACATGAAGCTGATGATTTTCACTTCCGTACTTTCTGTCTCGTCATTTCGATCTTAGTAACACGAAATGGTGTTAAAAGCGTTTCCTCCTTTTCATAGAAAACATCCAGACAGGCTTAGAAATGGAGATTATACGTCGGTTGCATGGAATAACTGATACAGTTTTCCTACGGCGGCCATTCATATGTGATGGGGCAGGCGAATGTTATTCAGTAGTAATGAAATTGGACACGGCATTCCATATTTTTTCCGCATAAACTTAATAAGCTTCAAAAATATGTTGGTTGTGATTAGTGTATGATAGTTTTGCTTTGACATTACAATAGAACCCTGTCACTTGTCTCTGTCACACTCATGCATGCTATCAGTGTTGAAAAATCCTTAATCGTAAATCATTGAGCGATGAATTTCGTTGTCATTATCGAAGTTTGTGAGCTTTGAAGTCGGGTGTGACGTCACAGAAAACACATAGACAACAAGAAGTCAGCAAACGTAGACGTCATACGAAGCCTGTCGTTCTCCCACTCTCCCGCTCTCACATTCTCGCTCCCACTTCCTCCGTTCTCTTTCTCTCTCCCTCCGAAATCACTAGAACCAGTCGCATATGCGATCTTCACAACGTGATTTCATTTTTTTTCTTTTTACTCGTCCATTTACCCTACTCTCACAACAACTATGAGATCTCATAACTAACGAACTGCCATCAATGTTTAGTTCCAGATGGAAACGAATGATCCAGGTGCCGCAAAACTTGCCGAACGACTGTCAGACTTATCAGCACAGTGTGACGATAACGTTGACGCAAATCAACGCGCTGATCAACACGGTTATTGAAATTTTCTCTCTCTATCTTCTTTTTTCTTTCTTAGTAGTTTCTTGTTAACCATGCAGTCGATTTTTTCAATTGGATAGAAAGTGCGCAGTGATAAAAGCAATCATCATAAAAGGAGCAATTATCTTGCGAAAGCATCCAGAGCTGTTTTCTTCCCTTGTTTTTTCTTCAAGGTCTTCGAGAAGAATCGTAAATCTAAATTTTGTTTGCGCACAGGTTGCAATGTGGTGGCGGGAAACCTTTCAGAAAATTCTGGAAAAATCGCCGAAATTCGTTGTGACAGCACAAAAAAGAGTAGTGTTTACTTTTTTTCCAGTGATCACTGAATAGTGTAACAACTGGTGCTGACCCAGTCAAATGGCTAACTTTTTAACGTTTTGTCTTATTTTTGCTTGCTGCGAAGTGTTACTATAGCGTTGCAATTTTGCTAACCAATATATCCTATCATTAAGTCATTTGCTGCTCTTCAGTCATTGCCTGCCACCTCCCTTGTTCATTGTGCTGAATCGTTTACGAAGACACCGAAATCTAAATGACGTAAGAATGGGTAAATTTCTGGATAATGATGATGACGGCAACTTATTCGTCACCGCTTATGTTGTCTGAAACAAGTGACGACAATTGTGAAGCGTCGTTTCGTCGCCCACTGAACTTGAATTATTTTTGCCCTTTTTCTTTCCATTTTTTTCCCGTTTTTGATGAAATAGACTATTAAAGGGGTTATCAGAGACGTGAATTGGATAAATATCATAACTTTTTCTTCGATGGGGAGTTTTTTCTTCTACATACTCGTTCCCATGCCAATGTCTTCTTGAACACATGACGAACAGCGTGAATTTCATACAATCATACGCAGCGGGCCGAGTTGCTGCTGGTACGAGGGTATTACCTGACCAAGATATAAACCCTAAATATTCTCTATGAAATTTTCGCCGGTAGTATATATAGCGGTCATTTCTTTACTCTTGATCACTTTAATACGCAAAGGCTTTTTCCTGCGATTTTTGTAATTGATCGAGTCTTAGTCTATCTAACACAGATGTTATGACAGGTATATCCCGGAACGAGCTCTACTCCACAACCAGGAATATACAAGGAAACCCAGGCTAGAGAAACTTGTAGATTATCTGCCAGATGAATGCCATTTCTCTTCTAATCGCTATGATAAATCATGGTTATTGTAGGGAATATGTGGATACTAAAGATACCGAAATAGACATATCATAAGTTGCAGAACTCTTCCAAATGCTGACACAAACAGGTTTGCATGACGATCCACAGTAGAATATAGTAGATAGCACCGTACATCACATCCTTAACCATAGAGTGGGGATAAGGCTAAGCCTTTTCCACAACCGTATCATGTACACAGCCCCTCGAGTCCTCTAGTTGCCGAGAAGCTGTCGTCTATTTCCGGAAAATCTGCGCCCGTCAAGGATGAGAATTTGGAGGCGTCCCATGCGGTGACACCGCCTCCGAATGTATTAAATTAGCGAGGCGATGCGGAATCAGCCGGGTTTTTCCGATGACTGATAACGTCCAGTAGTTATCCATACGGGCTGATAAGCGGATTAACATATGATAAAATACTAATCGCTTTTATACGATTATGTTTTACTTCCTGTTAATTGTTTTCGTTTCATGAGATGGCATTTATTCTAAGTGATCTTGGAGGTAGATGTAAATTAGTGAATGATGACCTCATCATATTGTTAAAAATATGAATTCTTCCGTGAATTCTATGAATATTCTTAAATATTCTTAAAGTTCTTCAAATACAAATGACAATGTCGTTGCTAGAAGCGCAAAAGAAGTATCAGAAATAATAATAATAACAATAGTTTGCGGTGGGAAACGAACGCGCTATTGTCCTTTCCGGGAGTAACGCGTTCACCACCACACCATGCGGGTTCTTCGTTTCGTCTGTCTCTCAGCTAGTTCTATTGATCTTTTGCCATCAGCAATCACCCATCAGCGAAGCGAACGAAGGACCTGCATGGTGTGGTGGTGAACGCGTTACTCCCTGGAAAGGACAATAGCGCGTTCGTTCCCCACCGCAGACACCTGCGGTCCGGAGTTTTGCAAATATCTCAGCATCATTAAAATGACAATAGTGATCATTAGGAGAAGAATAAGGACGAACTTTCTCGAGCGATGAAGGTAACGCCATTCGTTCACGGCAGATAGTGTTTTCACTTGGCTTCATAACCTTCGACTTAAGAAAATGCAGATTATTCATTGTTTGAAGGAAAACTCTGAGTCTTTGTAACAGGACTACATCCATTGAATATTTCCTCCTACAAATTATTGTTTTTAATCTAGTTTTACTTATTTAAGTTTGCTTAAAAATCTTTTTTAATCATGTCTTGATTGAATAGTTTCCATTGCAGGTGCTGAACACATACAGACTGCTTCATCTTAGTACAGCTTACAAAGCGTTCTACATAAAATCCACACCAGTGAAAACGAAAAACTGCGAATTCTTTCACAGCAGAAAAAAAAAGACAAAACGAATTTTAGTCATCAAGATGAGTAACAAGAAGATTACCGTTGTGCAGCACATGCACATATAGAACTCGTTCTTCTCTTATCGCCTATCGAATCATCCATTTAACGTTATGATTCAAATTGTTACGGGTGAAAATCGATCTTTACAGTTTGAAAGTAAAACAATTCGTTCCTGCTACTAGTACATTGTTTCCGATTTCTCATTTCACTGTTGTTCTATGCTGCTCTGTTCTTTTCTTTTTCCTTTCCTCCTTCGTTTTTCTACTTCATCCTCTAGCAAAATGACACCGATAATGATCATAAAGGTGATGGTGACGTAAATGATCACACTCAATGTAAATCATGCTTAATACTTATCATGACATCTCACCATCTCATCGGCATTTTTAATCTCGTCTTTTGTGTTATTTCAATTTCGTTCTGGCGCTTTTCTTTTCTCGTTTCTGTTGCCTCTCCACTTCCTTCTTCCTTTCTTTTCGTTTTTTTCCATCATCGAAAATGATCTTGTTCTGAGTTACAGCTATATTGGCGCTATTCCTATAGAAAATCTTGCCCTCAAACATTTTGTCTTGTACATGACTGTCGTAACCGTTTTGTTTTTCTTGTATGTGACTTTGTCACTGTCGCAATCAATAAACAATTTTTCCGCCATGCTTCCTTTTCGTAACATGAAAAAATGTTCTCGATGTACACAGATTTACCGGCATGTTCTACTCTGTCATTTTTTTTTTGAAGAATAACTTTTATTCTTCGGAAAAATGCTGTTAAACCACTGATCATAACATTTTAATTGTCAATTGTACTGTGCTTTTTGTTCGTAAAATAAAACAACACCGCAAACGCAGGGTGACGAGGAAGAATGCTGACATTGCATACTAGAAAAAACTATGAGCTATGTAAAGGCGCGTGTGGCGTAGTGATAGGAGGCGCCCTGCGGCCACACATGAGAGCGATCCCTGCGCCCATGGGTCACCAAGCCTTCCATCTCTTCGGAGTCGGCAAATTGGTAACAGACTTGTCTGGGAGAATAGCAGCGCTGACTCGATACATCGGTAGGTCATCGAGAGTCATCGTAAAGGCCAGATATGCATTCAGTCACCTCCAACGATGCTTAATGAAGTCGAATGTATGACGCATCCCTCAGGGGATCGATCAACGCCGAGAGCTTCATCCTTTTATCCTTTCTATAACTTATGTATTTGGTTTCTAACATCATTTTACTCGAAACTAGCAAGTATTATTCTTCTTTTTTAAATTTTTCATTATTCGATATGGATATCGGCATCACATAGTCATACATTCTGCATATAAAAGACGAAAATCGAAATGTATCGTGGGAACTCCTGACGCTTCGTTTTCACACGACGACCACTATTAAAACGTCGACGTCACTCTTCCTAATCTCTTTACCACCTAAACTAATATTTTTCATCAGTTTTGACTCTGCACTTGATTGAATAGTTCGGTTGTAATATTTTTATTGCCTTGGCGATTGCTTAAAAGATGTCGTCGTTTTTATCATCGGACTCGATACGTCACGACGTTACATCACGGATGTGAGTGTGCATGAATGAATCCGATACACTACCGACAATGGTTACATTGAGGATAATAATGATGACGGATGACACATACAGTAATCCGATGTTAAATGACAGATGTCAATACATTGTTGAATGAAAACGGGTTGAAGTGAAGTCAATCGACATCTGCCTGACATCTGGTGTTAATTTTTTCCAATACTTACCTTTCTTTTATTTACTCAGTTCTAATTAATGCCACACTCCGAATTTAATTTTAAGGTGAGCAAGTTGTTTACGACACGTTTTCGATTGTATTCGTGTTACAATATTCTGCAATTACATGTTTTTGAATACCTCTCCGCTGGTTGTGAACCTTATCGAAATGAAAAACTCCTGGAAAAGAAAGGAAACCCTTGGAATCTACGACTCATTGCCAACAATGCCTAACTAAATTATTCTGTCAAGAAAAAAGCCTTTTGTCATAGACGCTCATATCTTGAACAGCAAGGCGATTGAACATATGGAAGTTCACACACTAGAAGATGATGACGTCTTTGAATGTGTCGGGGAATGTTTTTACACCGACAGTGAAAGTATCTTCTCCGAGTTTAGTTATCTAGGAGATTGTACGGTTGCAAACTGATGTAGTGTAGTGATTTAAAAATTGTAATGGGGCTGCTTGTGGATTGCCTTCATGCGACGGATCTCTAACGAGTTGTTTCAAGGCCATGTGACGTTTCCCTTGATTGCAAATAACGTGCTGAAAAAAAAACCAGAAGCGACCTTGTACCTCCCATAAAACACAGGTAGACTAAGCGAGGATGGTCTTCGTATGCATGTAGATGTGCACACATGTGTTTAGCAGTCTGCTCATCGTGTTCACCTAGAGGCTTGTAATTAGCCAGCTGGGAAATACATTCATCGCTTTGAAGTCGCTTCAAGATGAGCTACAGCTCGGTGTACTCAATATT